CATCCCCCGGCCTCTGCGGCCGGCTGGAGCTGGGGCCGATCCCCCTGCCCCGGCCCCGCACCGCGTCCGGGCGGAGAACACGGGGTTGGGCTGGAAGTAACGCCCTGCCCGCCCAGGGCAGGCCGGCTCCGGGCAGGGTGGCCCCGGGCTGCTGCTGGTTTCGTCGTGAGCTAGGACGTCAAGCCTGCGCGTTTTGGTAAAGCTGGCATCCCGTCTGCTCTTCTGGGTTTCATGGTGCAGGTCCCACCAGAGGTGGTTTAGTCCAGTTCCCAACTTGCAGGCTTTTGGTCAAAGAAAAGAATGAATCGTTTTCGTTCTGATACATGAAGTATGCCTTAGGGAACGAAGACACAGGGAAGCTCTTTCCAGCATTAAACTGCCTTGGTTTGGAATCGTATTGCTAAACACAACTCTCTGAATGCTTGATTTTGTCGCGGGACACCCGTGACAGTTATGTCACGTTCATGAAGTCTCCCTCGTTTTCTGCCAGTGTTTTTATGCTGACATGAAACAGATCAGCGATCACAAACTTTCTGATAAGGGCTTTAGCTGTGAACTTTATTTTCTCCTAGGACGGTCTGATCTTTTACAAGGACTGATCAGTCATGGTCAGGCCTGATGTAAGGTACTATGTATGTGAAAGTTTGTTTGGGTTTTTTTGTTTGTTTGTTTTTAAATTTCCCAGCAGCACTGCAGTTTACTAAGTTGGTTCTGAAATGTACAAAAACTTGTACTTTGAGTGGAAGAGAGCATCAGCATATTCAAAAAAGGATTAAATGAATTAATGGACAGAGGGCCCGTAAATGGATACCGAAAGGACTAGATGGGAACATGTCTTCTGTGTTCCTAACACAATAATTGCAGATGCTGGGAAGCGTGAGGAGAGTGGACCACACAGTGTCCAGACTTGTCTATTCTGCCTGAATAGCTTCTCTGGTTGCCGCTGTTGGAGACGAGTCTGGGAGCAGACAGACCCCTCATCTGAGCCGCTGGGGCATCTTCTCACGGTCCAAATGTAGTGCTGAATCCAAGCATATCTCTAGGATGAAAGGATAAAACCTGTTTGCTTGCATAGGATAAAACCTGTTTGCTTGCATACCCTGCCGTATGTCTGCTACGAAAAGTATGCAGACATGGCCTACAATAGCTTCATTCTTCAGCGAAATCTACGGCTTGACGTTCACTTGCTCCATGTTGTTCACTCAAGTAACGGAACAGCAAGCGCTCAGCTTGACCGAGTTCCCTGATGGTAGGGACAGAAGGGCCGTCGTGCCCCCCCAGCATGCTGCCTGCAAAACACCTCCTCACAGCTCAGCCGGGAACACCTGAATCAAGTCCATAACCTCTAGCTGAAGGAGACCTATCTTTAGAAAATCATATGACTGTGACTATATATATGTATATTGCTATTGGCCTATGTACACATTCCGTTTGTTTATGTGGTATGCTGGGCACAGGCAGATGAATCCTGATGCCTCTCGCTTGGAGGCTGAAGGGTATCTCTGTTGGTATTTTCTAGAGGCCATAACCCCAAGGGGAGCTGGCGGGACAAAGCCTGATGGGTGGCAGCTGGGGCAAACTGGCAGGCAGAGGTGCCCACATCTGTCCCCGCTCTCTGGGGTGGGGAAGTGGTAATTTCTTAGTCGTTTACCTCTCTGGCCTTAGAAATACAAACTTCTATGGTGAGACAAATTACTAAACAAGTAACGGTTCCTGTAACATAGCTTACAAACCAAAGGAAGGAACAAGTGAGTTTTGCACAGAAGAATAGAAGAAGTGAGACATTAGAGGTGCCCTGAGTCACACAACAGGTAAGCCTTGGGGCATTCCTTTCCAGAGAGAAAGAGAAGGTGCTTTCCAAGTATTCAGAAGTCTTTCCAGCACCAGACACAGCACAAAGTCAGGAATAAATGACTGACATTGAGAAGGAACTGTGTGAACTGAAGCTAGGATTGTAAAAGTTAAGCCTGAGTATTTACTTTGTTAGACAGCTTTTGTGTGTGTATATAAAATACAGTGTATGTCCTTTTGTAGGGTTCAGCTTCTCCTTTCTTCCTCTACCAGCTATTGCAAGACCAAATGGTTTAACATTTCGGTAAATGTGACCATTGAACTTTCACCCACTTCTGAATGTATTTTCAGCTTGCTATTTATTACTTTCCTGTGTAGGTTTGATAGCAGACAGAAGTACATTTCTGATGTTAAAATCTCTGAAATGTACTGTAATCCTTTTTTTCCAAGAGCATGAAACAAACTTCATGTGCTTCAAATACAATTGATTGTCTTCTGCTTATTTTGAAATAGATTCGTGAAGACTCTGACAATTAAGCATGACAATTTCTTGTTAGGGATAATGCGTTTGTTTTCTCAGTGCATTAATAATCACTACCAATAAAACCGAAGGCTGTCACTGGCTTTCGGTGTACTAATAATAAGGTTTTGCATTTCCATGTAGAGTTTTGTCCCAGTCGGCTACAAATTTAATTTTTACAAGCTTGGGACTGACTCAGGGCTCTGGCTCAGCATGAGACACTGCAACAAACGTTCAAGTATAATCACATGGTTAAAAAAAATGCATAATGCTTACAGGGCAGTTTCTGTAGTAGGTTTCAAAACATACTACAGAAGGGGACCGAGACTGTTGTCCTAATCTTAAACTGGGGGGAACAGAGATAGGAAGAGATGGAGTGCTTATCTGAGGTCACAAAAATTCCAGTGGCGGAGCTGGAAACTGAGCTGGGTTTTCAGAGCCTTGTTCCTGCGCCCTCTTTAATGGCCCGTGCTGCCCCAGAATGAAAACAGAGAAACTTAGACTTCAATAATATTAATGATTTGATGTGAAAGTGCTCTCATTCTCAGTAAAGAGAGTAATTTGCCCCTCTCACCTGTCTCAAAATGGGACGTGGTGACATTTTTACAGGAAACTGTGATATAACAGTGATATATTAGATCAGAAATGAAAAACTATGTACATACATATGTATACAGGTATGTCAGAACTCGGCTTCACTGAAACTTGGACAACCACATAAAATTAATTAGGGGATTGAGCCATAGATTAAACCATAGTTATTGTTCTACTTGGTGTCTGTCAAGAAGCGTATAAAGCAATGTTTCATAATTCTGCTATTAACAGCGAGATTGATACAGGCATTTTTCACTCCTTCCTCTAACCACTCTCCCTTATCGGAGTAAAGAGAGCAGCATATGTTTATTTAATAAGCCCTTTGAAATAAGTTATTTCTGAACACCACTGTCAAGGTAGTTGCTATTCTGGTGCATGGCAAGGAAGATGGGATTTTTTGGAACCGGGACGGCTGTTAGCAGAGGTTTGAAAGGACAAACGGGTTGGTGTAGAGGCCATCAGATGGACGCACATGGAAGAAGCTAGGCAGCCGTACAGGGCAGAAAACTACCCTCGTATTTGTCCCCATCAGCCAAGTGATTCCTTCACGCTTCTCTGCCTCTCCTTTGCTTTCGGAAGAAAATCTAGGGCAGGGGACATCAACATTCAGGGATAGAGAAAACAGTAATTGGCTCTTTCTAACATTTTAATATCTATCTATGCAAATATTTCAGAGTATGCGACTTCTGGACAGATGTAAATCACAGTTGTAGCCAGCCAAGTAAGCTGATGTTTTTGCATGCAAGACGACAGTCTTGGAATTGGTTTACAGCAAACCAAGTTGTTAGCTGGGGTTAGGTCTCACAGCAGTGGCACCTGAGCAGAAACTGAACCACACTGGAAGTCCTATTTGCAGTAACAGGTAACTTCTGTCTCTATCTAGTATAAAAGCAGATCATCATGGATGAATAGGTATATGCACAAAACCTTACATTAAAATGTAGCCTAGTTTCTGCTTCTAATTAATAAACTGTAAAACAGTCTTCTTGGCTTCTTTTCAGTTCTAAAGGAAATTCATAGAACTAAGAGCACTTGTCTTTGAGGACTGTCTTTATATAACAGCACTAAAAATACGTATTCTTTACTGGGCAATAATGCACCTGCGTTAAGAAATGATTCTGTAAAATAAAAGAAAATAGACATTCACCTTTAAACAGGATAAACTGCCTGAAATGCACACAAAAACAATATGTTCTGCACACAGCTAAATGGGGAAACAATCCTGTTTATTTTTCACTAATCTCTGTTATTGACTACAGATACTGTAGTTGGCATTTTGGACTCTAGTGTTACAGAATTGTGTTTTGCAAAGTGATGCCAGAATTGAGGATCGTGTCTGCGTCTTTTGGAGTAGGAAGTTTAGTCTTAGACAGTTCAGTCGCCCAGTTCCAGCATCATTACTCATTTGAGTCATGAGTGCGATTTGGCTCAGTCCCGGGTAGTGTTGTATGAAAAAAGAGCCTCAGCTGGTTGCTTAATTCCTGATTGCGCCGAGGCCTGAAAGGTCAGCGCAGGACCTCGGGTCTGAGCAGCTGCGCAGGCAGCAGAGGCAGCAGCCGATGCGTCCGGCGTGGCTTTAGAGGCGCGCTGCCTTCGTGTGCTGTCTGACTGCGACCTGTTGCGATAGTTTCACGGCTAAAGGTCAGAGACGTGAAGCCGGACAGTGTCAGCTAGGGAAGTCATACGAGGACAAAGAATCCCAATGTCCTGAGTACTGTTAGAGGTTAAGAGACACTAGCAACAGAAAAACTTTTGGGGATTTGTTTTTTTGGTAATACGGAACACGTGGCTAGTATAGAGTACAAGGCCGAGAGGGAGGTGAGCATAGCAGCAGTGAGCATCTGAGATTCTTCATGAAATTACCAGCTGAGGAGCCGAGAGAAGAATCCTGATAGTTCAGGGACAGGTATTGGTGATTAAAGGTGAGGTAACGGTGCCTCTCTAGCAGTTCTTTGTTCATTCTGTCTGCTTTTTATCACAACCCTGACTCCTTTCTTCACGTGTTGAAGATTTTCTCCTACATCAATTAAATCTTTCCAGATCTGGTACCTCTCACCAGGAGGAAGGTGGCAGTCTTGAACAGTTTAGTCTCTAGGGGGTCCCTGGCTTGTCCCTACCTGAAAACCCCTGTTATGGGGATGTCCTGGTAAACGAGAAGGAGATTGTGGCTGTAGTGGTTGCTCTGCCTGACTTGTTGGAGAGCTGGGGAGCATTACAGCGTGAGCGTAAATCACACTGCTGCCGAGGCAGCCATGGGTCATGGGGAGCCAATGGCCCCAAAATGAAAAGCTGCAATCAGAAACGAGCAATAGGTTGTCAGCAGGGCTACTGTAATACGTCCGCAGTGGTTATTTGCTGAATTGGCTCAAACGCCAGCAAAACACTCACGTTTGCCTCGCTAGCCTGCCCGGCCCTCCTCTCCTGGGGTCCTCCTGCTCAGCCAGCTCCGCCTGGCTTCCCAGCAGCTGAGCGCTCTCGGTGCCTGTCAGCACATTTCTCAGTCCAGCCCATAATGCCGTGAAGTTCACCAGCCACGTTTCCACAGTTACCTGTTCGGAAAAGAAAAGTGTTTATTCAGACGGATGCGTAAAACCAGTCGTTAAGTGGGAGGATTTGGAGCTGTGACCCAGGCTGAGCGATGTGCCGTGCCTGTGGCTGGCAGAGCAATTCTAGGCTAATTGCCCACAGGGCTTTCATCTTTATACTATCTCCTCTTTTCTATGAGTTTGTCTTTACTTTTTTCTGTAGTCTCTTAATTTCCCCCTTGTCCTTTTGCTTTCTCTTCCTTTTTACTAGCTTTTATTATAACAGCACTGTCTTCTCTCCCTTTTCACCAGAGAACATCACTATTTCTCTTTTCTCTTCCACATGCATATACACACACACACACATAATTCCCAAATATATTTAAGTGCTATATTTGATAGCCTGCAATAGGCCCCCATGTTGTCACAGGAAGGGCGGTAAAAATCACGAATACCAGCAAAGATCAAACCAATTCTGGTTCACATGAGACGACGGGATACAGTTTTATAATGGATTTAAACCAATCCAACTGTGGACCGCTGCCAAAAGGGCTGGTTCCATCCTTTCCCCCACTCCCTCTTTCCTGCCTTGGGTTATCAGTAAGATGGTGACCTGAAATTTAATGTTGTTTACCTGTTTTTGCTGGGTTCAGCAAGGCTTTGCGTTCGTTAGTGCCAACACAAGAAAGGTGCCAGGGAAGCACAGCCAACAGGATGGGCAGGTCTGTCCTACGGGCGGCAACCATTAAACACATCTTCCTCTGCCAGTGGTTATATTACAGAGTGATAAGATATTCTGTATCTATTTTAAGTATTTCTTTATAGAGGAAAAAAACCATACAAGAATTTTATTTGTAAGAACTTTGGACAAGACTAGCTCTTTGCCAGCAAAAAGTGCAATCCCAATGCCTTCTAAATGACAACCAAATAGGCTGATTAGATAGATATACTTACAAAGAATCTGTCTGATAAGTGCTTGGCAAAAAAACTGCTTATGCCTGACAAAAAAATTAGGACTGTTGCTTTCATGCCCTGGTGTACAAAGCATCTCTTCCAGGTTTTTGGGTTTTGGATTCTTGGAAAGAG